CACACACCCATACTCACACCACCCACAACCCCACCCCACACGCACACCGACACCCACACCCCACGCAAACACACGCACCCCAAGATAGATCGAGATCATATCAAAGGCTGAGTTACAAAAGTTAGAACACACCTAGCTTTGAGAGATTAATGAATTTTTTAGATTGTTTTCTACATTTCTGTTTTCTAGATTTTTTTCTTTCTAAATTTTTTGCTTTCTAGATTTTCTTCTTTCTAGATTTTTTTTTCTAGATTTTGCGACAATACCAAATTCGGTCTTGTTTTACTGAAATCTACTCACTTCAGAAAAAGACAAGTTTCAAAAAAGAAGACAATTGATTTATTTACCATCGATCTTTAATTTGCGGCGTGTCAGATGTTTTGCAGGTTGATTGAATGATGGTAATGTTTCTACATCATTTTCTACAATGAGGACAATATCGAGCAATTTTAGTGATGTCGACATCATTGGATGATGGCAGATACTTGCCAACTGAGGTATGTTGTATGCATGGAGAGTTAGATACTGCAAACTTGATAAAATATTATCAATAAATTGACTGAAGAAAGCACTGTCTGTGTCCATGATCATTTCATAAAGGGGTAAACGTATATCTTCACTTTCATATTCTAAGTCGCCCTACCTTATATTGGCTGATTTGGATTTCATAAACGCTATTGACGATAAATGTTTGAAACGTGGCAATGCGTCGAATATTCTAGAATGCAATTAAGATTAATGTTCAAAAGAGGGCTATCTCTCATTGGCGAACATAATTGGCATAGAATTTAAAATTGAAATTATTGTTTCAAATTTTCATAAATAAGCCTTGGGACTGAACAACGAAGTTGAGTTATGAAATTTTAGTTCGAAGCTTTTTCTAATCGTAGTGAAAATTTAAAAAATTAGGGTTGCTGTTACAATTGGCAGAAAACGAAAGATACAGAATAGATGAAACTTTGTAATGAACTGAACAGCTGAGAACGCTAACATCTTGAATGAAAATCTACCTGCATTCAGCAAGAGGTATAAATAAAATAAACAATCGAACGAATCTAAACAGAATGCAGAGTTTACTAAGTATGTACAATGAACAAGAGAATTTTCATATTTTTCAGAGGACTCTCCTCTTGACATAATTTTATTTAATGTCAATAAAAGGAGTGATCAATAAATATTAACCAAACGAAAAATCTATTGCATAGGTATGATCGACTGGAGAACAATTCTTCTCCAGAGGATATTCATGTTTTCTACAAATTTTCATTGTCGCGTAACTTTCGAATATATAAAACAGTCGAAATTAATAAGGCTTCTTCCTGTTCTTTACGCAAAGTATAGCAGATACTCCTAAAAAATCCTTCAAAACTTTGTACACTTTCTGCTTCTTGTAATTTCTGCTTAATAGTGCAATGATAATGCCAAGTAATTGTATCTACTTTTGCTAAAGAATTTTTATCCAGAAATCATTCGATAGATCATAACTGGTTGGTAAATTGTCGCGAAAGACTATATTTTCTGTGAACAAAAAAAAAACAACCATGAACTATCCAAATCAACCTTCTCTTTACATGACTTCTACTAAATATCTGAAGAAGTTTCACGATTAGCTTAAGTTGAAATCGTCAGAATATGCTTACTTTTAACAAATGGAATATCATTATTTCAAATATCTTACTGAATTTAAACTCATATATATTGGAGTTATTAGCGTATTCAGGCTATGACTCGTGTAACATCTCAATTTCGATGAAAGATGGCAATGTTTCTTCATTAGATGCTTAAAATCCCATAGAAGTGACGCATCAACATCACACAATTCACGTCATGTCTGTTAGATAGAAAGAAAACTCCTATTACAAGAGATGTGTGTAAGAAAAATTGGATTCTTTTTTGTTTGTCCGATAAGTTCCTTATATCCTTCAGCAGACTTTAGATAAAGTGGATATTTCCTGCACCTCTGACAGCCCTCGCCAAGACCAACGTTGCTTTCTGCTTTATCGGAAACTGTGGTCGGAATTCAAGATAAATAAAACAATATTTTTCGAATTGACCTGAAGTTAATTGAAACTTCTAACTTTTCAATTTTTTCAACCAATTTTCGTCAACTCCAACGCACTTTAGACTAATCTTTTGCATTAGTCGAAACTTCACAATAGATGCCCAAAGAGTACTCAAAATTGAATGCAGCTCTCTTGAAAAACGAATTTCTGGTAAGAATTTTGGTACTCGAACCCAAACTGGATAATTTTTTTCACACTCTAAATCGACCGAATTCGATACGATAATAGTCAAAATTTCGCTGATAGTTCGATAGTGAGGTTGTATAGAATGTTGATGTAAATGTAGAATTCAGGTACCAACCAACACCCTCCAAAAAACGGAAAAAAAAGGAATTTTTAAAAAATGATTATGTATTAGTTCAGGCTTTTTATTGGGACTTTAATTGTACAGGTACTCCAAAAAGTATCCCAACACCGCCATGTTTTTTAGTGCTTAGTTTTGCGAAGCAAAAATAGGAAAAATAAATTTTTTCTTTTTTTTATTAGTAGATAGTTCTTTATGAAGATCAGCAATTTTATCTATCATATCCAAATACGTAAATGTTTCTCAGGAAAATGTTGGTTTTTTGAATATGTCAGATACTCGCTTTTCGAACACCAGAATTAGATTATGGGCATATCATTACCAAGAGTAACGCGAGCTTCATCTGCTATTATAATATTTCCATGGACAAAGATAATGTTCATTCATCCAATGTAAACCATTTCGAAACAAATCACATTCTTGAACATGCTGAATGCCACAGTTTAAGTACAAGATCACACTTATTCTTTCAACAAAATTCGATCTCCACTTATGATACCCCTAGAAAGCTTGTCCAAAATTACACAATAGCAAGTATTTTAAAAGGTGTTTACTGTTAAAATTAAAAATCAGCAGAGGAGTCATGCATTTTAATACTGATGTTATATGTAAACGTTGAAAAAATAGTTCTGATCTAGTACTCACACTGCGGTATTATGTATATTCAAGAGTATTATTTCTTTTGAAATAGTTTGAATTGCATGAAAATTTTCGTGGAAATATGATGATAGCAGATGGAGCTCGCGTTACTCGTGGTAGTGACATGAGAATAATGTAATCCTGGTGTTCGAAAAGTGTGTATTTTCATGAGAAACGTTTCTGTGTTTGAATATGATAGACGAAGATTGCTGATTTTCATAAATAACCTAGTTTGAAGCAAGAGACTATCGTCTGATGAAAACACGAAGAATTTTATTTCTTGTGTGTGTTTCGCAAAATCAGGCACGAGAAGATATGGTGATGTTTGAATACTTTTTAGAGTATCTATAATCGAGTATCATAATTTGTAAGTCAAATTCGATTATGAAAAATAGCATTTGTATCATTTTTAGAGCTTATGACCTGCTCTTTTTGTTATTTATTGATTAGCGAAAATGTTTTATAATTAAATCTTAGATTGATATTCGAAATAACTATTTCTTTCAGTAAAAAGAAAAGTGATAAAAAATCTGACCCATCGTCAAGCTGTTTACTACACACTATGAAATTAGTGTAAGTGAAATATGTAAAAATACATTTAACTTAGTATATACTTCACTCACGTAGTGAAAGGAATATCTTCTATTTGTGCTAATGAAAGTGTTTGTAAATTTGTCATTTGTTTAACATTAATTCGAGACAAGAAGAGTTCCGATTGATCTGGTGTTTCATTTCGATCATCACTGAGACGTAATACTTTAATACAAATTGGTTGAACATGCTGGCAGATCAGATCGAAACAAGACTTCTCAATTGATTGAAAATCAAGTTTAAAATTTGAGTAATTTTCAAGAACCTGATCAAGATAATCATTAAGATCACGAAATCCATGACAAATATCATATGCAGATAAATAATCAAAAATTCCATGGAGCAATTCCACAGGTAAATCAGTTATACAAGTAATCATGTTTTTTGAGAAATCTATAAAAAAAACAACAAAATAAGCATTACACTAAATACACCTATTTTCTTTATCAAATAGAAGTCTATTATTTTGAAGAAAAACACTTACTAGGTTCTGTTTTTTTTATTGAATATTTAAAAACAAGTAAATCGATAAAAAATGTGTTATTGAATTCAAACTGTAACGCAATATTGATGAACTCTTATGTTACCACAGCATAGTAGATTGTATTGTTAATCAGTAATGAAAAACTGGAGGAGCAACTTTACCACTATCATTCTCAGACTAGGATGTTCACTACACTACTTGATCACTCCAGTTCTGTCTATGACACATACAAGAGCGTGGGGTATGTGCATATTAAAGCAAAACCCACACTCACACCCATATAAGACTTGGGGGATGTGATTTTCCCTCTTTATTCTTGACTAAGTAGCAATCAAAGAAATAGTTAAGATTTACTGGTAGTCGATTTTTTAAATTTTTGTTCTAATTGATCCAACACATTGACAGTCAAAATAGCCACAATTGCATATTGAACGAGATATACTTTCCATCCAACATAAAATCGAGCGATTCCATCTTGTTTCAAAGTTGTTTTGAAAATATCCATCATCGATTGATTATTTTGAAAAAATTTTTGTTTTTGTGTTTTAACATAGTCAAATGGCATCATTGCAGCTGTATTAACCAATCCGACAATCATCCCTGCCGCAAAGAGATCAATATGAGTCAAGTCTTGTGATTGTTTATATTCGCGAACCTTCGTCTTGGTCAACTCATCGGTATACAGAAAAGTGACCCAGGAGACATTTTGACGGAAGAAAATGGCTGACGTACCTCTATAGAGTTCTCGAATTATATCTCGACCATCTGTTCGTTGTCGAAAGAATTCGAGGAGACTAAGACGTGTTGGACTCGTCATAAGCCAAACTTTGAGACGTTCAAGAGGATTAATAACAAGAATTTCGAAGTTAGCTATAGAAAGCCCGGTAAGAATTTTTGGTAAACGAGGATAGTTTTGTTGAATGCGAGCAGATAGAACATGGTCTCGATAAAAATTGGGAAAAAAAAGCATCATTGGCCAACGATATGTTTGTTTGACAGCACGTCGAGTCGTATTTGGAATGGCACCCGAATAAAAACCTAGGAAACCTTTTGAAGTGTATATTTCACGAGTTACTTGAAGAGCATTGCGAGACTGAGTCGGATTTGCTTGCCATCGTGTGCGAATAGTATCGAGTGGATGTTCAAGTGGAAGACCGCCGATTGTTCGACTGACACCGACAATAGCTGAAATTAACAATTGAGAGGAGCGGTCCCATTGATCCATCGTTCAGAGGATTGAATAGAGAGAGAAAAACGCACCAAAAGTAGTGTGGTGCGCGATTACTTTTTTTTTGTATACAGAATGAAAAAGAAAGCTCGAGACTATGAGGGCGAAAAAAACAATCACATGTGCAAAAAAAGTACCCCTAATATTACTCTATTCTCTCTTTCTTTCTCTGCTTTCTTCCAATATTGCATGAAGGAAGAAAAAAACTTTCTACAACATAATGAAATATCGAACACGTCTGGAAGGAGTTGCGAGAAAAGAACAATTTTCTAATATGACGTAAATGCGATGATTTCATCAGTCTTTTTTTCTTTTCTTTTACTTACCACCTTCTTCCGTCGTCAGTAGTAGAAAAAAATCTAGTTTGCTTACGTTGCTAATGTACTCCATTCGTCTTTGTCAAGAACAAAAATACCGAATCGAAACTACTGTTCGCAATATTTCTCCTTGGTTCTTGCAATAAAGTCAGACTGATTTTCGTAAGTCTATCAAAAATCATGTACAAGAAACGTAAAACAAGCTCAGTTACCTTTGCATTTTAGTTTTCACAATCTCAAAACTTTTATTTTCTTTTCATAGGGATGTCGTTTTTTTATACATGAAATCGTACTAGTATCCTGTAATAAAATAGAAAAAGAAATTATTTAAACTGGTAACGTTATTAGAGTGTACTATAACTTTGATTTTTTTTGGTGAATTTCATGAGTCAAACTAGCGAATCAGGTTCATCAATGGTGGCATATTCTATTGAAGTCTACTTGCTACATTCTTAGGCAATATTAATTTTGCTTGTTTCTGATGAAAGTGATTAATGCATTTGTTAGTGTTCTTTTCTCTTAGAGAAGTGTTCTCATTTGATTGTATCTGTAAATTCCTATTTTTTAATTACAACAATATATAAAATACACATTACCAACTATCCACATAAAATATTAAATTAAAATGAAACATCACTTGATTCCATTTCAGATGAAATAACGGAACATGATACTCATCAATACCTTGAATTATATATCTACGGTAGTCCATACGTGGAGTAACTTTTTATAAAAGCTTACAATAGTAATAGCATCATTGAACATTCATATTATAACACTATAATCAGCTTCTATAGTTCTGCTCTTCATATATTTGTAATCACTCTTATTCGACTGTAATCGATATCTTGGGAAAAAAATGAAAAACTAAAAGAATAAATTTTTACACTTCATCTTTTTCTTTATTAAAGTTTTGAACTATCAGTTTAATATGATACTATTACAATTAGAAATATGTAATAATATTCCGTTTTGGAGGTACGCATAGTGTATGTCTAAAAACGAAACATTGTTGTAAACTGCTTATCATTCTTCTGCAAACCACCATGCAAAGTGAGAAAATTCAGTTTCGAAAGACCATTCATAAGTATGTCTAATGTTTCAGGTATTTGAGCATTATAATAGTCGAACTGAACGACTTGTAGCTACGATAATCGCTTCATGATTGAAAAATCAATGTCTGTCATGTTTAGATGTTTTCAATCTATGGAAAAATTGAGCTGTTGTAATCCATTTGATATAAGTATATTGCACAAAGAAGCATCGTTGAGAAAATCGACTAAATTTTGCTCTTTCGAATGATGTTTAGAATCAAGATTTAATCTACAAAGCAGCTGTAAAGAGCAAGTGGAGTCCAACTCAGTTAAATGGATCAATAATACTCAACGAGATAATATGATTGGTGCATATCAAACGATGGTTCAAGATTGCCATAGTATATAACCAGTGACTTTATCTAGATATAAAAACATTGCTTATAGTAAGAAAGAAAAGAAATTTATTCTTACCCACGAACAATGCTTTTGTTTAGACTGCTATAAGCATCTAAAGATTTGTCAATTCATGTATGATAAAATCTGTAATAGAATAACTATTATTATATAAAGATAATTTAAGTTCGACTAGTACTCGTCCTGTAAGGTGTTAAATATAAACATTGGTCAAAAAGTATCGATAGTAAGTGGTGAACAACATGAGGTCCAATAACCATTCCCAATAATATGAAATTCGTCAGCGAAAACCAAATATTGCTTTCCGATGTTATTTTAAGACGATGCATGATGGGAACTAGATGTTTATCAATAGTAGAGATGCGACTAAAAAGGAGTAACGGAAAAATATTTTGTAATAATCACAAATACGTATGTTATTTTATTTGTCTGTACATCATATCCTACACACTAACAATATTTTGTTTACATGTACGGTATTTCGCATTTGTTGAGAAAAAGTTACAAATAAATCTGGAACATGTTTATCCATAGAACCATAAAAAAATAATTCAAAATTACTATGAAAACATCTTCATAGATATTCCGAATCTATTGGCTGACGAATAGGTTTTTTCTAATGCAACGTCTTTTATCGTAAAATACATTTTTCTTCTTCTGGAATGTTTCGTCTTATTCAAAATCTTTTAGTTTGTTCTATTGAAATCTCGAGTATGAAATAGATGTCAACGAATGCACTTAAAGACAAGAAACAGAAGAATTTCTCTTTTAAGCGTATATTAAAAAGTGAGTCTTAGAGTCATCAATTCGAATTTTAAAGAGATAAACTCAGCTCGACTTTTGCTACGGCAGTAAAGGATTGGTCGTTTTTTGTTAATGAAAAAAAACCTTATCTTAATCTTATCGGAAATAAAAGATGTTGCTCATTTCTTATTGTATGTGTCCATCTGTGACTGTACATAGAATTTCACCTTGTCGACTAATTTCAATAGACTCTCTCATATTTATTGAGTTTTCTAATAATAAAATTTTTGAAACAATTCATTTTCAACTTCTCAACTTTTTGAAATTGTCACCTTACAATTAAACACTTTACATTCAACAGAGATCGAAATTAGTCAAAAATTATATTATCAATTCAAAAATGTCTCATTTGTAGCTATAATACCAAGTTCAAAGGCGAGATCATCTGACTGAGGAAGATGTTACAGTGAATGTAACAGAACACCTAATGAACAAAGTCGAAGTACAATTGATTGTAAGTTGAAAAGATTTGTTTGAAGTAGCGTGAAGGTTTAACCAACTGGTTGAATTACTTACGGGTATCCAAAAGTAGTGGCAACGACATTTTAGTACCACTTAGTAAGCTTGATAAAAGTTTCTTTTTACACAGGATGATAGAGAAAAAAATGCTCTTTCTTTCTATGCTATTTGATCATACTTCACATAATATAATGGTAATAAATTTCCAGTAANGAACTCGACCGAGACATTGTTAAGACTGAACTGTGTAGAAAATTTCATCATGATCTGACTCTCCTTTCGAAAGTTATCGTGTAAACGGCCGGACGGCCGGACATACTGACCGATTCTAGAGGATACTCACTTTTTGAGTGCACAAAAACGTATTTCATGTTGTGTTAAAATTTATGATTCCTCAAGAAATATGTTTGTTTATTTCTATAAAGATAGTAGTGATCTTCATTGGTCAAGTGCTGAAAAACCAAATGAAATCTATTTAATTGCACAAAATATGAATGGATATTGGGATGCACCTTATCGTTATCACCATCGTAATGGATATTTTATAGATAAGGGAAGCAATGTATGGGAAGAATATCAAAACAATAGAATCCATGCAAGATTTACAAGATTTTATGATGATGATAATGATAAAAATCATGATGGTTGTGATAATTAAGACACAAACGATCTAACAAGTGATACAACAAAAGGGCTGAGACATATGAAGTGGAAAATTGGCTTTTCTATATTTCTATGACGAACTTCTAACAAAGTATTTTATATCGAATACTGAAAACTCACGCGCTTACTGTAGCAAGCATTTTCTACAAGTGGCTTTCACATGTCTGATCGATAGAACTGTTTGACGTCTGATTTCCTCTCCAAGCTCATATCGCTGGAATATAACGTTGATTTGTTCGATTAGACTCAAGAAAAATGCTTTTGTCATCTTCCATTTTGATCGTTCTTTGAAATAAAAATATGATAGCAGATTAAAGAAATTTTTAATTAGAGCCGATACGATACCGATAGCTTCAGAGCTGGAAATGTTCACCTCTGCAATGAATACTCATATAAGTACCGTAGAAACTTATGGAATCATTCATGTTTCTTTGTTTTTCTATAGCTGTCTGACTCAATCAATGTCAACTAAAATCGAAGTAGACTCTAGTTTCAAGTTTAGAGTCTCCGCCTCACTTATGTCTTAGCATGGGTAGGAGCAAGGATACTTAGAAACTAGAGACTAAAGTTCTCAAATGATATTTTATAAAATCTCACGATAGTGTCATTCAACTCTGTTGCTACGTTCAACTAAAAAAATCTTAAGCAAAATATCACAAGAAATACTTAGCTATTTCTCTGAAAAGAATACATTTATTTGGCTTGTTTATTAAATCTCTACATCAGATGCGAGTCACTCATGATAGTAACAAACAGGTCTACCAATGATGAAGGACTTCTCACTTCCGCTAAATTGATAAGTCTGAACATGGATGAATCAGCAGTGTTCGTTTAGAAAACTTCCATGAGCATTTTCCTTATTTGTAAATATTACTTTTGTAAAAGCTTCTTTCAATGAATGGGAATACTATTTTTTGAAAGTTGAATATACATCTAAAAGCATTTAGAGTTTTGAAATTTTCATTACTAAAAAAATACTTTTTTAAAATAAATATATATTTTGATAGAGCTTGAAATTATCTATCATCCTATATGTGTTGCTTTCCCTTGTACTTATGTGTTGGAGAGTAATTCAAGTGTTACGTGGATAACCTCTGTAAGAATATGCTGATATTGCCTCATATGCTCAATCATCCTGAACTTTGGAAACAAAAAGAATGTAATACTTGAGATATTCCTCAGCACATAAGTACAAGACAAGACAAAAATATAGAGAATGATAGAGAATTTCAAGCCCTACCAAAATATACATTTACTTTTCGAACAAAGTATTTTTATAGTAATGAAAAATTGAAAAAATTAATTATGATGATCGTGACAAAATCAAGCCCATACAAATCTGATGATGAAATTGCCTTCATTGTAATCGATTCATTTTAATAGTGCATAAATTACAAGATGGTAGAAAATTCTAAGCATTTTCAGAATACGTGCTTATTTTATAAGAATATGTTTTTATATTAATGATGTATTTAAAATGCAGACTACAACTATTTATTTCCAGGGAAATATTTCTATCAGGATGATCAACTAAAATGAAATTATTATAACAACAAAGAAAATATGAAACATATATACAGGTTTGCGTATGCGTAAGTTAAGATGAGACTCACACAAATTCACATCCACACTCTATCAGCTCACGATTGATTACAATATGTTACAACACTTTTAACTACATTCTTCTATAAAATCATATTGTGAATTTCATCAACGCCTATTGACATTTAGTGGCACAGAGAATGCTTTCGTATCATTGCACTCGACAGCATCATTACAAATCATTATGATATTCATGCAAGTTATAGCGAAAAATAGAACAACATGAAGCGTAGACGTTTACGCTATGAAAAGGAAGAACCTTCATGCATCATTAATCAATATGTTAATTAAATATAGTCGCGTCTCACTCAATTCAGACAAATGATATCAAATATATAAAATTGTTGTTTTCATTCAGAACTGTGACATAATAACTCGATTCCCTATCGATAAAAGTAAGTTACCGCGAAAACTAAAATTCTCCAGTATGTTAGATATTTTTACTGATCATCATCTTTACTTTCGAAAAAGTTATACAACTCTAGATTCAATATAGAATTATAAGAAAATTTTCTATTATCTAGCTATTGAATGTTGCAAATAGGTTGTCAGTATATCGGAGAGAAAGAGAGTAGAGAAAACAAAATATAATTACAAGTGATTGTTTTAGCTTACTTTTTCTTGCATCTAACCACAAATCACTGCTCTATTTTACAGGTGAATCTAAACATGCTTGAACTCATATGAAATGTTTTTTAGTATGTATTCCAATACTAAATCTTTTCAAATTTTAAAAAAGATATTTATTAGTATTTCAAAGATTACTTTAAACATTTTTATTATAGAAGAATGAATGTTCAATCGTTCATTTGAAAACTTTTGGATATAAATCAATGCGCTGAGCTAGGCATGTGTGTTTTTAAGATGAGTATTCTACGATTATGAATCTATTTTCAAGAAAAAATTTTTATTTCTTCATTAATGTCTTGCTTAGATATGCATCTACTCTTTAACATGCTTAGATTTTTCAAAAATAGAGACCAAGTCTATAAAAAGAAACAGTGTAATTGATAGGAGTAAATTTGTTTTATTGACGAGAAAGAAGAGCAAGAAAGTGTATACATCACTCATTACAAACTTCACTTTCTTCTTCTCTTCCTTTCATTGATACGTGTAATAACGACAATTACTCCTTGTAAGTCTAATTTTAACTACATACATAACATGTTTTTCATAGAAATTGATATACTTTTACCACTGTAGACTCGAGTAGTAATACTGATTTTGTTGATATTAATCATCCTTTCGTTTTTCCTACAAGAAGTTAGTTTGTTTAGAAAACAAAGTGTTGTCATCTTTCTTTTAGCAAGACATTTTTATACAAAAACAAAACTGTTAAGTTGTGATTAATTCTGTTCAGATACTAATCAAATCTAGTTCAGTACTAGAGGATGTGGGTGTGAGTATACTTTGGGTTATATGGATCTTCGTCTATTGGTAACCTGCAACCACACCGTGGAAAAAGTTTTGAAGGTTCAACCATGAACTGAACTAATCAGAAAAGCGATAACACATTAGTTGTTTTATTTGGCTCAGTTCAGTCTATTAAAAGCTCTGATCCCTATTTTCAGAACAATTTTCTGACTTACGGACTTGCATTATGTTTCGTATGTCTTTGAGAATTCATTTTTCAATTTTTTCGATGAATTTAAAATTTAAAGTCTTTCATCAAGTTTTCAAGAAGTTTTTTTGCTTGAAATTTCCAAAATAAAATAGCTGCCGTTATTTTCTGGTAGAAATATTTAAAATCTTTATTCAAATAATAGCTGATTTATCTGAAACACAATGAAAACATTCAAATTTTTCAACATCAAGTCATTTTTAAGGCAATTTTTCACATAATAAAGGTATCTGATTGTTACTAACTGTAAGATGCAAAACTCATGTAGATAGTTTTGACGAAAAAACTGAATAAAATTAATTGTTTTTTTTCTTCAGTAAAATTCGATTAACATCAAATTTTTTTTCCTATTTTCTTACGTGAGAAATCTTTCTTGAAAAAAGAAATCAAGTTTGAATCAAGCAGTCCATTTCGAGTTCAGATATAGAATCATTTAGTTTTCTCTACCATTTGTGAGTATCATAATTCAATATGGGATCTGTGGTAAAACAATGGGCATAGTTTTTACGGCCTATGAAGGAAAAATGAAATAGAATCAATGCAAAATATAAAAATATGCATTATAAAATTGGTTTGTTTTTGAGATATGAAATCAACCCAAAACAATGATGATAATGAACTTAATTTGGAAACATTGCTTAACTTAATCAAAATATTAGATATTACTTATGATGATGACTGTTCTCAACTTTCTGGTTGGAATTTATCTGATGTTGATGACATTCCGATTAGTATATTAAATTTAACAAAGGAAGAACAACGATCAGTAACTAGTTTAGATAGAGAAGGTACAACGTTTATGTGGAAAACATTATTAATTGATTGTTTAATCAATATGGATTATGAAGATAATGATAATCGAGATGATATTGTTGAAATATTAAAAAAAAAACATAAGGATCATCCAGAGAAAATCATACAAATTGATGATTTTCATAAAAATTACAAAAAAACTGACGCAATTCTATGGTATAAAAAAGAGTCGCCTATATATCACGAATTAAATGAAGCACTTCGTCGAAGTTGTATTAATATTCTTTTTGCTTTTCGATTTTTTATTCGAGATTTAAAAGATCAATTAGAAGAAGAACACAAGAATTTCTTAGATACAAATGGTGGAAATATGATTTATCTTTATCGTGGTCAACGTATGTCAAAAGATGAAATCGACAAATTACAAAAATTAAATCGTGACTGTTTGATTTCAGTTGATGGTTATTTTTCAACTTCTCGAAGTACAGAAATTGCAGCTGGTTTTATGACGCCTAAAACAGAAAAAGACAATAAAATGCCAGTTCGTTATGATATTACATGTGATTTAACATTGACAACAAAACCATTTGCTGATATATCATCAGAGAGATTTGGAGATTTTTCTAATGAAGAAGAAGTACTCTTTATGGTTGGTACAATATTTCAATTTAAAGGTATGTTATATGATAAAAAATCAAAGTTTTGGAGAATAAAATTAAAATTAATTGATGAACATCAACATCGTTGGTTTAATCTATATAATTCAATTAAAGAACAAATGGGAGAGGAAACAAATTTACTGACATTGGGAGGATTATTAGTAACTGCAGGTGATCATGAACATGCATTGCGTGTCTATATGCGTTCATTCATTGATTTAATTATAGTTCATGATCATTTAACTGAAACAGGACATCAACATTTGGCACGATCACTTATGGGAATCGCTTCTGTTCAAGGTGAATTAGGTAGATATGATGAATCGATTCAAATTTTAAACGAAACAATAAAATATATCAACAATTATATAAACAAAGATGATCGCAACTATTATCGAGCAGAAGCTTATTATCATCAAAGTTTACCACTTTCTGAAAAAGGTGAATATTTAGATGCATTAAAACAATGTAAACATGCACTAGAGATTTTTATAAAATATCACGGTCATCATCATGCAAATGTAGCTAATGTTTATGAAATGATTGGCAATATTCATGCAAATTTTGGAAGATTAGCAGGAACTAAACATAATTTCAATGACCAACATCAACATGTTCAGAGAGCATACGCTTACCACAATAGAGCATTAGAAGCTAGAAAGAAAATTTATAAAAAAACACCAGATCATCCTGACATAAGTTGCAGTTATATCAACATTGGTGAATTACTTCGAGATATTGGAAAGCCTGATGAAGCTCTAAAATATACATTAAAGGCATTGAAAACTTTTACAAAATCATTTCCAAAAAGTCATTATTGGATAGGAGTAACATTGGATAATATCGGTGAGATTTATGTTCAACAACGACGATTTAATGAAGCAAAAGAAAAATATGATGAAGCAATTGATGTATATAAAAAAACATTACCAAGTGATCATCGTTTTATTGGTGAAACTTTACATAATATTGGCAAACTTTACTGTTGTACTCATGTATTTGATAAATCATTAGATTATTTTATTCAAGCTAAACAAATTTACGATAAAAAAATACCGAATAATCATTATCTTGCTGTTGAACTTCGTAAACAAATCAATTATGTTTCTAGCCAATTACATGGACAAATAGGACGATAATTGATCGTTTAGTCAACTATGAATCTTTGAATATTAAAAGACATGTTACAAATAAAATAGAGAACAAACAAATATTAAATTATTTATCAGTGACCCACTAAAATGTTTTGTACTTTTTACATATTCGATAACTATCATTGACACTTATATGTAATATTCTAAATTGCTTCTTTTCTTTGAAAAATACTAACGAAATAACTGCAGCTTTCTTTCTATGATGATTTTGCGATCGATCGAAAATCTTTCCTCTCTTATCTTTTCGTGCTGGTGGAGGATATCCGCCATACTATTATCCTCGCGGAAGGAGAACAACGTATTGATTAAGATAATAAGTAACACACTTATCAAAAGCTTAAACTAGGCAGAGAGAGTCGTACGCGTGTGTGTTGGATGATTTCAATATCAGTCAGAGAACTAATGAGTTGTAGAGTACCGCAACATTTCACAGTTTTTCACAATACTGTCCTCTTTTTTATTAAGATAGTAAGCAAGCGTTTTATCTCCATAAATGATCATATTTCTTTGTATACAACACATATATATACATGTATATATATAGGATCGTAACGCTGAGTCATGAAAACGTGTATCTCAAGGAGTGCACCTGTGAAAGGTTAGGCATGCAACCAAACTCCTTGATATGATAAAGATGATTATTATTTGATTTTTTTCTTACACAGTATGAGCTACTCTGATCTAATGCATTATACAGTCGAGCACAAAATAGAAAAACTACTAAAGAATGAACTAAACCCAAACTAATGAATTTATTTTCTTTTTTTTTGTGCATTAGTAACTCGTAGTGGATTCCTTCCAAAATAAGGTTAATATCTGTGGAAAATTTAGCGACCACATAATTCGATAATTATAAGAAATTGTTTTCATCAAGACAAAAACAATCCGAATTGCTTGTTGCATGCTTATTTGCTGCGACTGTAGTTATTTAACTTGGGCGATTGAAAAATTTGTAAAAACGTTTCCTCTTGAAGTATGTTCGTGATGAGATAGGGCGATATGACTTCTTAGCTGCTCCGTCAATTTTCCTTAGGTACTATCTGGTTTTCTTTGACGAAACACAATTATTTTTTAGATTTGAATTCTATAGCGAGAGAGTTGTACCTGTCTCCCTTCGCATCTCTTTATAGAGACGATTATTGTGATGTGATGGTTTGTATAAATTGTATGAAACTGCAAGAATTTTTCTAAATATTATATACGTTTTCATAGGACGTGAAGTGCATTCATGTACCGATCTCATCGTATTGAAAACAAATTAATTCAGAAAATTTTCTATATAATTTGAGTGTGTGAAGAGAATACCTATCCACTCACACCGGCATTTTTGAAAATTCATTGAACCTATTATGCGATGAATTTCTGTCGTATTTTTCATTCTCTAAACTTTTTATACAATTGAAGAAAATAAATTTACAATTCATGGTTCTTAACAAGTTTTTTTTTCTCATATAATTACTTTTATTTGTATCAATAAACATCTATATTATGATTGTGCGGATGTAAGCAATCTCCTTTTTTTAAAAATCTGTTCTAATTAGTTAATTTGTACTTCAATTGAAAAAAAAATCAACTGACGTCATTCTAATAAAGCAGAAATAAATCGAGAGACAAGACAATTTCTTTATTTCATTATTGTCGATAAACGACATATTACAAATTTTATTTTTGATTATCCATCCCAAAGATTATGAACAATCAATAATCGTAAGAATATTTTCATGGTCACAATGATTAGTATGATAATGATGTTTATATAATCTTGTATTCTGAAAGATACAAGAGCAAATATGTTTCTAAGTAGATAGACAACATTCTCTTTTGCATCATGCCATTCTAATTAATAAAACATGTGAATATTTATTTTAATCACCGAAACAAATTCAATATTCCTTTACTAACTTCACTTACCGCACTGCATATGCCACATTTGGTTTTCTTTGATTAATGAAAAAAGGAATTGTTACATTTGTCTTGTAATAGACACAATAATCTGTGGTTGAACTTTTGCTGACTTCTGGGATGCTCTTGATATTTGGTATCAAGTGGATACGATTGCGATGTATTTTTTCCCATGTTATCAGTTACATTTTATCGAGAGTGATTGTTTCTTTTTCTAAATCTTATATTTCGTAAATATGTGAGTAAACAAAAGTGTTCGAAAGTAGTACTATCGAAACATTTATTATTGAAAATTCGAAGACAAAGTTTAAAATATTACAAAATGAATCAATGAAACTTTATCTGAAATTGAAGTACATAGATTTCTAATCAGCATCAAGACAAGGCCTACATTCGGTCTCGGTCATAGAAATGTTCGTCAATAATTTGGCAAAATCAGAAACAGTATAATTTACTTTTTTATGGAAGACATATGCACGAAGAGCTTGGTGACAATGTTCTTTTTTTGATGATGATCACGAAAAAGTTGTTTTCTTACTTTTTAATTAAGAAGTTTTTTCAAATTAATTTATTGAAACAAAACTTCTTTTAATGAATAGATTAATATAAGAAGCCCAGTGATACGAGGAATGAAAGAAACGACGCTTTACGCATAATAAGTATGTATTTTTGCGTCATAAAAATGCTAGTCTTCTCCTTATCTTTAAAAACAGTTGAGCAGCAGAATTGTAACCATAGGGTGTGAGCATGACTACTCAGTTTCTTGGCATTTTTATTGGACACAAATGAATAGAAAAGTACCATACAACTTCCATCAACATTTTCACTGCACAGCTCTGTAGCAGCATGAATGGTGTTGAAAGGAATAACTATAAAAAGTTCGAAAAAACATCTCGACAGACAAAGTTTTGAATAAGTGAAACGCGGAAAAAAAATCAAAAAGCAAAGTCTGAAACTTCGGAGTGTCGAAAAAGTATATTCTCGAAATACAAAATGTCAAATAAAATAGGATTTCGTAACGTTGAAATTTTGAAAACTAAATCTTGAAAGAAGTCCTTTCGTTCTGTTATCATTTAGTCAGTTTCATGTAAACATTCTTACCAATCGAGAAATTTTCCTTCATTTTTCATCTGTCTACTCTGAAACGTGTGACTTTATGGGTGTACGTTTGTAGAGAGACTGTTTAAACGCACACCCACCATTACTTTTTTTCTCTCAGGAAAAAAGCCTGTAATTGACTTTTATAGAAAGGGATATTTTTCATTTTACCGGCAGATTCTAGACTTTTGTTGGTGAGCGTTTCCTTTTAAGAGAAATTGTTCAGCATATTTCAAACATAACAACTGCAGATGGAGATATATGAGGTTAGAAAATGTAATCAACATACATAAATATTGCGCTGCCTTTTAGAGTTAATCATTTTATACATATAAAAATTCGAGAAAAGAAAATGCTCGATAGATGATTTTGAAGAATTTTTATTTAAAAAGGAGAGTACGACTGTGAGATGTGAGTGTTCGTCTATTTTGCACCAATATCCTCTAACTGTGAATTATATTATATACGTACAGTCATTGAAAAAATGTATTATTCTAATTAAGAAATTTCAAATTTTACTCAAAGCAGACAACATTTTATTTCTTGTCATATTTTACTTGAGTTGTTTTTGTTTTATATAGCAACCGAGTTGAATACCACTATACTCAGATTTTATAGAAGATGAATTGAGAATTCTAGTCTCTAATTTGTAAGTACCATCGCTCTTACCCACCGGTAAGACGAAATTGAGGCGGAAACTCTAAACTTGAAACTAAAGTCTACTTCGATTTTAGTCGATATTGGTTGAGTCAGACAGCTAAAGAGAAACAAAGAAACATGAATGATTCCAAGAGTTTCTACGGTGCTTATATGAGTATTCATTGCAGAGGTGAACATTTCCAGCTCTGAAGCTATCGGTATCGTATCGGCTCTAATTAAAAGTTTCTTTAATCTGCTATCATATTTTTATTTCAAAGAAGGAACAAAATGGAAGATAAAAAAAGCATTTTTCTTGAGTATAATCGAGCAAATCAACGTTATATTCCAGCGACATCAGCTTGGAGAGGGAATCAGACGTGAAACGGTTCTGTGGATCCCACATGCGAAAGCCACTTGTAGAAAACTCTTGCTACACTAAGTGCTTGCGTTTTTTGTATTCTGTATGAAATACACAGTTAGAAGTTCATCAAAAAAATATAGAAAAGCCAATTTTCCACCTCATATGTCTCAGCCCTTTTGTTGTATCACTTGTTAGATCGTTTGTGTCTTAATTATCACAACCATCATGATTTTTATCATTATCATCATCATAAACTCTTGTAAATCTTGCATGGATTCTATTGTTTTGATATTCTTCCCATACATTGCTGCCCTTATCTATAAAATATCCATTACGATGGTGATAACGATAAGGTGCATCCCAATATCCATTCATATTTTGTGCAATTAAATAGATTTCATTTGGCTTTTCAGCACTTGACCAATGAAGATCACTACTATCTTTATAGAAATAAACAAACATATTTCTTGATGAATCATAAATTTTAACACAAGATGAAATACGTTTTTTAGAGCTCGATTCAACTTCTAATGTATCAATACATTTTAATTGAATTATTTTTGCATCATATATAATATTCTGAACAACATAACCACTATATGGATAAAATAAAACTTCTTGTTCTTCTGGATAGATAGAATAGTTTGAAATATCACAGCGATATGTCCAATCATTTTTTGATGCATCGATTTCAAATATATAATCACCAAAATGATGTGCTATATCTCTATTTCTTGATGTACATGTAAATGTTGGCCATAGAAATTGTAAACCTACTTTATATTCTTGTTTTACATGTTCAGGATCAATCGATAATCCACGATAAACTTTAAAAAAATCACTGTTGTTATTATTTTTAATTGCCATTTTTAAACTATTGATAAATCGTACATTCTGTTTCAATACTTCATAATCATCATTAAGAAGAGCTGTATTAATGGTTCTGTAATATTGTCCATCTTCTTCAGTCCATTTTGAAAAAACTTTTTCTTCTGGATCACATATGCTTTCGGTTGTGATTATTTCACGATAACATGGACGACGAAATGTAGGCAAAAGAAAACGTGATGTTTCACAAGAAAATTTTTCGACACCACGTCTTGGTCTGCTCATATTAGAATATTTTGAGTTGGTTGTATAATGCGAGAAATGATATCAATATATATTTGTTTAAGTCAGTCGCTTAAGTTTAGACTTTCTAATAGAGAATTAACAAAATAGTAATTATTCGAAAATAAGAAATCAATTCTCTTGATTTATACAACTCTAGGTGTAAGCCGATGCATTGATCGGCGGCAATAGTGACTACAAAAATCTAAGGTTTCCGTGGGAGTGTTGAAAATTTTAAATGACCTTTTTATAACTTTAAAAGATCTTTGATAAAAGTATAAAATATTCTTTTGATGGATCCATTGAAATAATATTTGAGTCTTTTAGCATGGAGTATCTTAGTGGGAAAAATTGAAGCTCTATTGATTAATTAAATATTCAATTAGAATGGAGTAGACTGCAGCGCATGCTAATTGTTCTCAAATGGAATAAATAGAAGATGGCTGTACAGAACTGACTGACAGACAACTAGACATCCGATGTGAAAAAAACTCTGATTTTAGAATAAACTATTCGATTCATAACTCAATACGAGTCATGCTGGTAGGAAACCTCATTTCTCTCGAGTTTTATTGTAGAAACTTAAATTTTTGTATAGTTCGTCGGACTACATGGCTCAAAAAAACGTTAGGTTCTACGCTAAGCAAATCTCTGATGCATATGCCACACTTCGAGATTCGATATCATTTGATACTAATTAGCTCAAGTTGAATTAGAAATAGAAAAATATTGCAAAAAAGTCGATAAAGTAAAGTGAACTTAGTAGAGTGATAGCAGAAAAATTATATGGATGTGGCTGTTCGTGTAGATGTTGGCAGATGCAGCTGTGGCTAAGGACGAAGTGACGATTAACCCCGATGCCACCACACTCAAATCTCATCATTCTCCAAAAATCTTCAATTTGAAGTGTTTATGTTGCTTACCAGTTTAGAAATGACAAAAGCATTTGCTCACGATGTGGACTCGGAGAACAGATATTTTTTAAGATCATTTAGTGCGCTATATGGCTTTTCAAAAAGTCAGACCACATGGAAAGCAAAATAATTTTACAGGAAACCGAATGAGTTTTTGAAAACGCTATGGACTTAAACTAAACTTCATAAGTTTTAGAAAAACGTCATTTGATTCTGGTTTTATTCTCATAGATGAAGGCGAAGGTGAAAAGACGCATACACGGCGCATCACTTAATGAATTTCAGTAATATTTAAGATCTGAACTCAAGATGTTTCCATTATGCATATGGCGACCAGTACCTGCATAAGAGATTATATCCAAGTAACTAGGAAACCAATAGAAAGTATAAGATATCTGAGATAGACTCAAGAATCAATTAGCTAATTTATAATGTGATGGGCAGAACATTAATCGAACTCTATTTTAGCCGACAATGCTCAGATCTTAAAAAGAAAAGTTTGCAAATTTCAAACATTTATGTTCCCATATTTCTATAATATCAGAAGTTTTTACAGTTTCCAAGACTAGCATGATTAGTGCAATTTTTTCAACTTTCTAAAAGGCGTTATTACCAATCAGCCATGTATCGATTGAGACTAATCAATGATTTTGTATCTGCTAGATGAGTGCGGTCGTTGAGCTCTGGATCACTCGTAGAATACAGATCTGTCTCCTTAAATCATATCACAAAGAAATTCTATGATAATTTTCAAACTTGCAAGGAAGATAAATATCACGAAGTGAGGGCTTTTGGCCAGTATTCATGTTTGGTAAGATTAAAAAGGATTCCTATGCGATATCTCACTATCCCTCGTTCTTATTTCAGTAATGAATGTTTATCAGATATAGGTATTTAGGGATTTGTCTCCTGGAAACAATGTTAGGTGTCGGTACGTTAGAAATAACAATACATGTATAGTTTTTTATCAAGCAGAACTCTCAAAACGAGCCTAGTCAAACTTTAACAAGTTTCGGAAGATTTTAATCGAGCCGAAGTGACCCTGGACATCAAAAGTTTGGTTCATTTGAAATCTTAACCGGCTATGAACTGTATAAAATAACTAAATATAGTTGGACTGATGGTTTATTTATTCAGGAGGAGTCACATACTGAACGATAGTTAATAAGAGTAACTAAATCGAGAGACTCGAATTGCGAAGTATGCTTTGAATTCGATTGCGAGGCTGCATTTATGAAATGCGCTATTGATTATGTTGAGGATTGGTGCTCAAACAAGTTGAAATTTCTAAATAAACTATTAAATTGAAATAATTTCACCATATTGCGCAATCAAATCCTAATTATCCTGCTTTATGATGGCCACACAAACTGCAATGTTTCACGTCGTAATTATACGTTGCCCTGAATAGGTGTTTCTAGAGTCTGAAGCTGTGCAATAAGGCTCTTTTACTAACGATTGATTAGAATGAAAACTACCGGAAAGAACTGAATTTTTTTCTACGATGTTATATAATACTTACGAAATCTCTGAAATAGTAGGTGTGCTGCAAAACGATTGACGAACGCAGACATCTGAGCTTCTAAATCAAAACTCTATATAAATCTGAATAATTTATAGTTATAATGATCTCTAGTCATTATTTGACGATGAACTCACAGAATGTCTTGAAATAGCTTTAAATTTCTAAAGAATGGATTGAATCTAGAGCTTTTAGTTTTACTAAAAGTCTCCTTTCAATTAAATGCAATCATTGACTACAATACTAATGAACAGCTAGTGATAAATTGAAGTTCATCAATATTCGTCATACTCTTCATTAGAAAAAAAAAGAATCATTTTTTTAGGTTCTAATGTGTCTGCAAACAGTATAATTCATTCTTATAGCATTACCTTACATTATTCAATCAAAAAGTTTTTGCAGTTGATCAAGAAACAACAAGGATTTATTATTTTGCTTCGAAAATTTACTATTACGATGCATTTTTTATGCGACCACATCATCGTTAGAATGAAAAAAAAATACATAATGTCTGACTACCAAAAGTGTAACCAAAAATGCTTACAGGTAATGCTCAGTTACTTAATATTTTTTATGGAGAGTAATGAATAGAAAAAAACTATACAACTTCCATCAATATTTTCACTGTACAGTTTTCTAGAAAGATGAATGCTAGTTGGTGTGGATGAGGGGATGGATAAGGATGTTAGGTGGATATGAGTGGAAATAAAGCTGTCTCACATACACTCGCACATATACTCCAACATCCACCGGCACCCTTGGCTGCTTAATATTACCTGTTAGTTTCGCTGAAATAATGAACGGAAACCTACGGGCTTATCTCAGTCTTACGAAATGTTCATTCAATCGAGATCCAGTGCAATGTTTGAGTCGTTTCATAATCTTGAAAATCACCCATATAATCATCAGTTTTCGATTCATATCGTATTCAATCATCAAAGCAAAAATAATAAGTATGCTCAACATTTCAACAGAAAATCAATTGATATTTCCTTATTGATTAATTTCAGTCAATCGATATTGATGTTGGCTAATCAGTAATAAACGCAGTACTGATTTTTAGTTTTTTCTTGTGATAATGCAAATATATAGGTGCTATTTAACTAATATAGTGCGAAGAATTATTAAGAAAAAAATATGCAACCGAGCAAGGGTTTAAAGTACTTCACAAGAGTCTTCAATTTCTAACATCTTCCTGAATTATCATATAAAAAATAGTCTTGGTTGCTCTGCATAGCCAATTTTTAAAATAAAGCGCATTCTAATAGATTATTTATCCTACGATAATAATGGATAAATGTATAATTTAATGCAACCATTAGCAATAAGTAGAATTTATCTTCAAATGTTGTCGACCAAAATTTTTCATGGTTCGTTGTTCTTGTTTGTTTTCTCTAATGGGACTTAGTTTTCTTTTCCTCGGCTGCTCCATATCTAATTTATGATTACCTTTTTTTCTCTCGATTTGTTTGTTCTTTTTTCTTTCTTTACATTATCACTCGTTCGTTTTCAAGTACTGCACAATATATTAGTGCTTATACTTCTAGAAACCCTAATGGAAACCAATAATAGCAAACTCAAAATGATGATACTACTACTTATCTTATTCTACATTTTCTTTTCCTCTTCAAATCTTCCATCTTTGTCTATCTATTAAAATTTCTTGAGTGCAATAGATGTGTATATTTAAGAGCAAGTATTCTGCTAGTTCATTTGCCGTAACATTCAGCGATGATTTTTCTTCTTTTTATATTTCAAAGCAACTGAGCAACTCATATTAACGTATCCTATCGATCTTTGATGGTGAGTACTTTTACGAATCAGCAGAATAAAGACGATTAACATCTCAGAATTATATTCAAAGAGCTAACATCGCAAAGATTCTAATCTTGATAATCTTGATTGATAAAAAAGACAAACAACTTGAATTTCATTTTCAAAAGCGATGTCAAACTTGATACTCTGAAAAATTCGTAATTGTGGGAGAACAGAGTCTTTCGAATATAACCCCCATTGGTACACTTTCCAATACGTGCAAGTACGAGTATACAAGTGAATTTTCTGTCTATCCTAATTACAGTATGTAGTAACAATCAGAATAATAAATAAAATAGAAAACATAAATATGTTGTCTAGTCAATAATCAAGCACAGAAAATTAATCAGACTTAACTTTCTTGATGCGAGAAGTTGATATTTACAGATAGAAGAAATGAAAGATCTTTGGCAGAAACTTGCGCTCATAATCTCAAAACAAATCCAACTGTGACTATGATTTTAAAAACGTTTCAAAAATGTTTTAGTTCCAGTTTCAAACGTACTACAGTTAGAAGTTCTGAATTCATTGGATGCATTTGTAATTGTTTTACTGTTTCGATTTGATCATTTCGAAAGCTTCATGTTTTCGTGTGCATTGAGATGAGTTGGTATTGGTTTTGTACTGTTGTATCTAGACAATCAAATGAATTGTTTTTACAGGTGAACGAGTATTTTCAAATTTGGTTTTGCTTTTTCTACCCAAAAACATAAGACAAACATCGCGTTATTTTCTATTGTTTATTTCAATAACCCAAAAAAACTTCATCTTCAGTTCACATTCACAATATTTTATCGTACAGATTTTACTTTCAAATTCAATCTCATCACTGCCTCACACTTAAGATAGTTTTTTAATAATTGTAGCTAATTTGGTGTCTTTTTTTGTTGACTATTCAGAAACGTATTCTCGAAGAAAATCTCGTGTATGTGCGGCTGTCAATGTGTGCATGTTTCTTTTTGCTTAGAAACATCTTTCCATTATAAACTCCTTCCAAATCAGCCATAGTAATGAAAGTAATAGTGAGAAAAATTGAACAATACAGAATATGTATCGCTATTATTCACCTTCTATTCAAGTAAGCAGAAATGATGAAATTGATGTGAAAAGGTCTTTCAATCGTTCACAATCCTCTTAAAAAAAACTTTCAATTGAGAACAAAACAATACAAGTCAATAGAAGCATAGATTCTAGAAATAAATAGAACTGAAGCCAAAAGATCATGATTTCGCATGTTTCTAACTATGATTGGTGTTAACAAGAGATCTTTCTTGTGTTGAGTTCGAATTTTTCATCGTAATAATCGATCAACGATTGAACATTTGCCAGTCACAGGAATATCATAATTCTCTAATTATTCAGACACTTAGAAGACAAGTTTTGTTTGAAAACATACTGTTCGAAAAGTACTCGTCTCATTTGATTAAAGTGTGTCTTATACATGATTACTATTATGTAAGCTCAGCATCGAACAGTTACCAAAGATAATCTTCATGTGAAAAATGTATACGCCCATTCTTTCTCATGCAGTCTGCGAATTCTTTGTATTAACAGAAAGTTAAGTGAAAATTTAAGTGAGAGTGAATCTTCATTAGCCAAGTCTAGGCGAAGTTTAAGCCCCATGAATCTTGATAACTCCGTTGCATGGAAAGATTTGTTAAGCTTTTTCGAAATGAATTGAATAGGTGATTTATTCTAAAGTCAATAGTGGAGAAAAAAATCTAAAAAGTGTTTGAAAAAAAAACTTTAAATCAAATCACATGACAATCAACTGAGGAAAATAAAAAATAAATGATGAAGTTCTATAATGATCAGAACGTGTCGTGCAATAATCTAAAGTTGACAAGAGAGTGAAGGTGGAGATTATATTTACCGCAACAGAAATCAATTAGCATCAAGCTCGGAAGTTCGTTCTAAGAATTCAGAAGATAAAACGAACTTGATCACGTTGATGCATTTGAATTGCACTGATTATCTCTAGATTCACATGGAAATTCTACAAGAGAAAATGATGACATTTTGTGCATTCATTACACTCGTAATTATTTCACCAGCGATTGGTATATACTCATCGAGATTTAGCTTTAGCTCTGAAGGACAAGAATTTCAACCTCAAAATAGCATTCAATTGATTTTGAGTACATCAGTTCGAAGTCGATTATTGTGTTCTGTCGCATGTAATCAAAATCCATCTTGCGGCATATTTGATTATGATTCAAGTTCATTCCGTTGTCGGCTTTTCGAATCTGATCTTACTACTGGATCAATTATTTTATCAACCTCTCCAAAATCTATTGTTGGTATTCTCATGATTTCAACATCATTATTTGCATCGATGTACAATCAATCTTGTGCAGCATGTCAAGAAAATCGATATCTGATTTGTTCGTTGAACACAAACACATGCCAATGTCCAAAGAATACTTTTTGGAATGGTACCATGTGCTTATTACAATTATTTCAAAATGCGACATGCAATCAAATCGATGCCTGTCGAACCAATCTGAATCTCAGTTGTGCTATTGATTGCTACGGTAAATTTAAACAATGTTTACCAGGTATTTATTTGTTATGTCTGCACAAATTTGTGCCGTAGTCTGTAAGAAGACGAATGATTCATACTTTTCAAAAAAATATTTCGCAATTTAACAACAATCAAACTTCCATAACATAAGACTTTTATCCACAATAAGTCTCGTACAAATTGATTTTGTCTTTTGTTTAATAGATAGCAATTATCGGATTTTTTCAAATGTTTGTACACTTTTTATTATAACTAAATCTCAACACAGATAAATGATATAACCTTGTTTTTTTTTCAAACAATACGCCATCGGATTTTCGACAAACTTCTATTAATCTTAATTTTACAACAATACAACTGGATGTTTTTTATATGTCACTTCATATAATTCGACAGCATATCTCTTAAAAAAAAACAATCAAATTTATATCATTTATCTTTGCTGAAATATAGTCATAGTAATAAACGTGCCAACATTCTGGAACACTCACTGAGACACAAGAAAAAGTGACTCAACTTTATTGACATTTTAAGAACTTCGTTCTCTCTCATACATACTTATTAATAGTACCCACGAGAATATTTTCTTGACGTCGAATCACTAGGCAATAGAATTTTAGTATGAACTCTAAAATTTTTGAACTATTAGTTTTAAGCATAAAAAAGTGTTTATTAATTTAGTTCTTTTTAATCATACGTTTAGATTCGGCAAGCAAACAACCAAATGTGACCACCGCCGTTGGGTCATGCAATGGATTGTGCAATCAAATTTTGAGTGGAAATCTGACCACACTTCATTATCAAGCAGGAATATTCGCTCACAACAATGGAACACTCTATGTAGCCGACAGCACACCCATCAATACAGTTTTTGTGTTCGAGCCTAATCAGCAAATAGGTCGACCGTTGATGACTTTCGCTGATTGGCCGACTTACATTTATATTGATAATGAAACATCAAATATTTATGTGACTATTCTCAACTTAAACTTTTTACAAATATGGCCATCAAATGTCACTATACCACCAAGTGGAATCATGGGTAGTTGCGTTCTGAACAAATTGAATCGACCTACTAATTTTGTTGTTGATTCTCTCGGTAATATATACATTTCAAGTTTGTCATGCCATTGGGTGACGAAATGGGCTCCAAATGCTACAACTGGAACACTCGTAGCCGGATCACCAACGGGAACACCAGGTTCTAAAAAGCACCTTCTCAACTTACCGTACGGTCTTGTTCTCGATGAACCATACTCAACACTATATGTGTCTGATCGCAACAATCATCGCATACAAAAATTTACGTTGGATAATTCAAATGGCGTAACTGTAGCTGGTGGTCATGGTGCTGGTTCAGCATCTAATCAACTTAATCGTCCTACTACGATTATAATATCTCGAATCGATCGTGCGTTGTATATTTGTGACAGCCACAATAACAGAATTCAAAAGTGGGCAATGGGAGCATCGTTTGGTATCACCCTAGCTGGAAGTGCCAGTGGTTTAGCGGGTAATTCACTATATTTACTCAACACACCTTATGACATATGGATGGATTCGAACGAAACGTACCTGCTTATATCAGACAGTTCTAATTGTCGTGTACAACGATATATGCTTCGATAACAGAAAATTCACATATCGCTTATTTCATATTAATCGAATATAATCCATTGTTGCAAAGAATATGAAACGATTTTTTATGCTAATAGCAGTGTACAGCAAAGAGTAAGATTCTTAATAGACGTTTACTGAGCCCCAGGTACGGCTCAGCTCGTTTAAAACTGGAAAGTGGACAAGATGTGGTATATGTGTGCGAGTGTGAGCTATTGAATATGTGAAAAGAAGATCCATGCAAGAACTCAGGAGCACAGGATTTTTGTCTGGCGAGACACTTCTTTCCTCAATAGTGACTACTTGGTCTATACGGATCTTGTCAGAACGCCATGATCTGCTAATTCAAACAGGAATAGTAGCTATAGTTTATGTAAAAAAGAATCTTGAAAGATCAATCAAGATGAGAAATTCATTATTATTCAAAAATGATATTGATTATATGGACTAGCTCATAAAATAAAAAATATTTATCATAGAAATTCTTTCTCAAACAATGTTTTGACGACATTTTATTCAATTTTTCACTTTATTAATGTAATAAAGCATGTTTAAATAATGAATAATTCAAATTTATATTAGCTAATCATTATTGTCAAAGTTTCATTATTAAACTTGATAAAACTAGAAATCATTCATTCACTGATTACGAATCACTTCAAACAGAACAATATATGATAATACTTTAAACGTTTGAAACCGGTGAAAACCATGTTTTTGCTCATCTCTGATTTTTTCCACGAGTACTCTGAACTAGGAGAATTCACGAAAGATAACTATTCTCAAATGTACTTTTGCTGAATTCTGGTTTTAGGCACAACTGAAAATGTGTAATGGTAGTAAAGTAAATAAGATATATTGTGAACGTTTTCGATCTGTAGTGTCATTCAAGCATATCGCACCAAACAAAACTAAGCATTCATGGATAACACGATGGCTTTACTCAAAACATTTTACATGAGTTTAAACCTTATTGACGAACCACAATTTTTAGTGAGTTCATTGTGATATTTGACACGCTGAGTAATCAGTTTGTTTAATATAGCGATTAAAAATGAGTTTACAGTAATTCGATAAATCATCATCTTCACCGATTTTGTTAAAGTATCGTTTTATCAAAGTTTTTTTTGATGAATAAAGAATAGCATGTGCTATGTGCCGTACTTTACATATTTCTCTTTTATTTCCATATGGAAATAAATCATATCATCGAAAACTTTTTTTCATTGTATAAAAGAAAAACAAGAAATAAATTGATTTAGATTGAACATATTTGACTTTTTTTAAAATAATAATTTGATCTTTACTATAAAAATTTTTCATCAATATTATTCTTTAATTCGAGTTATTTCGAAAAAAAATTCTTTTAATTAACGTACATTTCGAAAAATATTTCTCACCTAAGATTTAAAACTATTTTTAGCTTTTGTCACATCTTAAAATAATCTAGAATAACAATCATAGAAAAAGCTTGCATATAGATTTTATCAATTATCTAATGAAAGAAAAAAAGATGATTAGAGAAAATAAAGGTTTCAATAGAAAAGTTTGAATCGAGTTTGATTCATTTTACGAAAGAACTTTGTAACTATTGATTAATTATTTTGAAAAGAACAACCAAAGTAATTAATAAATGTAATTTAAATGGGATTTTTCTTCAATGATGAATAGATTAAAGGTTATATGAAACTTTAAAATGTTTATTTGTAAGCATAGATTTATTTTATGTTCTTTTATTTTCTTTTTTTATTCTTCTATGTAGATGTTCTTATAGAAAAATGATGATAATGTACAGTTGTAGATGGTGATGGTGTCATTAGTACATATGTGTAGTTGATTGGAATTGGTCGAATTCATTGCAAATTGCAAAAAAACGTTCATTTCCAAATTTGTGCTTCAAATAATAATTGTAAGTGATCAAATTCTTAATGATAAATTCAAATGATCAAATTTTAACTTCTAACTAATCAATGTTGAAATTCTAGATGGTAAATGTCAATTGATCAAATTCCAAATGGTAAGCTTCAATTGATAAATTTTCAAATGATCAATTTCAAATAGTAAATATTTTTCAATTGATGAATTTCAAAATGATAAATATGATTTTATTATTATTATTACAGAGATTTCGACGAATACTTTCGCCATTATCAATGTGTTGTTACAAAAAATTTGACTTGTTTCATTATCGCTGTTTGGAACACGTAGGTGAAGTTAGCTCCATATTCGAGTAAAACCTTCCCATATTCGTCCAGGACCGTGTTCCAAGTGCTCCAAGTGTTCCAGCCCGGTTCCAAGTAGAATTCGACGAGCTCTATCTGATGGTCACCTTCGATTTTCCATAGCCCAAACTAATCGCGAGAAAATCCCAAAATAGAACCATTTCACTACATGTATGGTCACTAAAACCTTCCCATATTAGTCCAGGAACGTGTTCCAAGTATTCCAGCCCGGTTCCAAGTAGAACTCAACGAGGTCTATCTAATGGTAACCTTAGATTTTCCATACCCGAAACCAATCCTGAGAAAAATCCAAAATACTGCTCTTTTCTATGGGAAAAGGCAAACCTACATACTAAAACCTTCCCATATTCGTCCAGGAACGTGTTCCAAGTGTTCCAACCCGGTCCCAAGTAGAACTCGACGAGCTCTATCTAATGGTAACCTTGAATTTTCCATAACCCAAACCAATCCTGAGAAAAATCCAAAATACTGCTCTTTTCTATGGGAAAAGACAAACCTACATACTAAAACCTTCCCATATTCGCCCAAGAACGTGTTCCAAGTGTTCCAATCCGGTTTCAAGTAGAGCTCGACGAGTTCTGTCCAATAGTAACCTTGGACTGTCCATAGGCTAAACCAAACGTGCGAAACATCCAAAATACTGCCCTTTTTGTAAGGGAAATGGGAAACCGACTTACTGAAACCGTCCCATATACATCCAGGAGCGTGTTGGAAATGTTCGAGCCTGGTCAGAAGTGCAAATGGATCAGCTCTATCCAATGGTAACCTCGCATCAATTGTAATCGAAACCGCTGGTTAATAAGTCTGAAAATGAATTGGGAAAAGGCGATCTGTGATTTAGTGAATTAATATGAGTCAAAATGATCGAAAATGATTTATAACTGATTTAAAATCATCAAAACTCATTGTTTCACATGATTTAGAATGATTTTATATGATTTAATGTTGGATTTTAGATGATTTAAATCAGCCGTTTTCTCCTTGCTCAAAATAGTGTTTTTTCTATGTGTGTGTGATTTCAAATACTAGAGGTTGTGGATGTGGTTGAGAACGGCACCTCCAGCCAGACACACTCCCACACTCCACATTCTCACCGACACCCCGTACCCACACCCACATCGTTGTTTCACGATAACACGAATAGTATATTGGTCTATACTTTTACGAACGATTAAAATTATTTACAACAACGCATACTCGGAATCATTTTATCAAATTGGCTAACATCTATCACGTTAAAGTTCTTTTGATAGTATTCAAGCACAAAGAATTCAAGACTCTATTAAAAAGGGTGTGGGTGTGGGTGTGTGAGTGTCGGTATGGGTTCGTGTCAGTTTGAAGAAAAAAATAACCACACCCACACCCACACCCTTGTTTTTTTTTAAGACTAGCAGTATCAGGGGGTCAATCACTTTCTGTGTTTCGAATAATTACTATGATACCCATAATTTTTTCTTTTGTAAATCTATTATGAAAACCAGTAGTATTGGTCAACATAGTTTTCATACTCTACAAAATGATATATTGATCATTTTACCGCTAACATTCCTCCTAGATTACGTGACGTCAAATAGGTACGATAAGATATCGGTGGATATGGATGACGTGTGAATGTGTTTATCTCCTTAAAAACGAGGCAAAAATCCAACACTCACACATTCTAATATTGATAGTTGAGGAGATAAAATGAGTGCAAAATCTTTATGGCGTTGAGATATTCGAAACATTCGATGAGTACATCGATGGGTGGTGACTCAAATTTCTGTATGTTACCTTTCTGAAATATCGATTTGTTATTTAAATTGGAGCTATTGAATGCTGAAATTGGAGTTATTGAATGCTGAAATTGGAAAAGTATCATCATATTCTTTCTGAACACAAATGAAGCATTGTTTTACTTATCTTAGTTGTACTCTGTTGGAAAACAGTCGAATTTCTCCATTTCTAATAAACTACCGAATCAACATGTGAATAGTTTTCATTTCTCCATCACCTTCTAAATCCTACTCAGTCCAGCGCAAAAGCGGATGAAAATGTGTGAGTGTGAATGACGGTGAATAGAAGAACCACTTCCATTCATACTGCACAACACCCCAGTCAAAAGAATAATGGGAAAATGGTCATTAAAATGCATTATTTTCCGTAGCTAGACCATTCTAACCATTAAAGTCTACTTTTAAGGCGAGTAATGCTAAAATAGCCATTAAAATGCATATCCATTTATCATTAAATAATTTTGACCATTTTATGACCACAAAGTCTATTTTTTCGAAATTTCGAGCTGACTGAAATGTGTTTATAATTTCTAAAAATTATATGATTTTTGGACTTTGCTCGTCAACCGTTCATATTTTCCATAACATTCAGGAATATAGTTCGAAATTCGCACTAAAAGTCAATGGGAATTTCCGATCCTGATGAAGTGGGTGTGTGGATGTGGATGTGGATGCGGATGTGGGTGTGGGGTGTGAATGGGTATGAGTATGGGGTGTGGGTGGTGTGGATAACGTGGGTATAGGTGTGTAGATAGCAAGTGCAGCTACACCTACCACACCAACTCACACCCACACCTTACACCTCTACCCACACCCACATCCCACCAATCCACACCCACACCACACCCCACCCACCTACACACCCACACTCCACACCTACACCCACACTCACACCCACACCCGCATCCACACCCACACCCACACCCTTGTTTTTTTTTAAGACTAGCAGTATCAGGGGGTCAATCACTTTNTCACGCTTGCTGCACTCATTCCC